TCCATCCATTCTCCTCCCAGCCTGTGTCTGTGCTGGGGGTTGCCCTGACCCATGTGCAAGACCTTGCACTTGGCCTTGTTGAACTTCATGAGGTTGGCACAGCCCCACCTCTCCAGCCTGTCCAGGTCCCTCTGGATGGCATCCCTTCCCTCCAGTGTGTCACCGTGCCACACAGCTTGGTGTCGTCGGCAAACTTGTTGAGGGTGCACTCGATCCCACTGTCCATGTCTCCAGCAAAGATGTTAAATAGCACCGGTCCCAGTACCGACTCCTGAGGAACACCACTCATCAAAAATGGCATGTAAAAGCCTGCAGACGTATGTGATTCACACAGAACTGTCTGGGGAGAGTTAGCTTCTGAAATTACTGAGCTCATGTTAGCTCTTAAGGAATCCTGGAAGGGCGCAGGCATTTCAGAAAGCCAGTCGTGACTCAGAAAGCGTTAGTGGGGTGAAGGTGTAACTGCAAGGGAAAACAGAAGTGCTCTTCTGTGCTCAGGCCAGTGTCCTTTAGCCTGACATTCTCTTCCCAGTAGTGGCACTGGCTGGGGCTATTTAGACACAGCACATAAGCCAGCCACTTGCTCCAGCTCGTTCCCTTCACAGTCCCACACATCCAAGCATGTTGGATTAGGGATGTTAGGGAGGATGTCCCTGCCCAGCCCTTGCTGCATCCATAAGACTCTTGTCCCTTGGACATGCTGAATCTGTCCCCTCTGACACCCATGGCTGCAAGTCCCTGAAGAAGCACTCTTTGATCTGCTCTAAACCAGTGTCCCGCTGGTTGCACCAAGTGCTCCTCCATTCCGGTATTCCCAGCTTGGTAAACAGGAGTCCTGTATTCAGCTTACGTACCACCTTCAGCATTGCAAACCTCATTCATTCTCCACCGTGGTTGCTCTCACAGTACTTCAGCGGGTCAGAGAGGCAGGATTTGCTTTGACCAAAGCCGAGCTAACTCTCCCCACAAACCCTGATTATCCACTTGCTCATAGACTGCACTCTTTCTTTGTTGACTCTGTTGTTTCACCAGGAATAAAATTTAGGTTTCTTGCTCAGAAGCTCTCAAGTTCCCCACTGGAGCTGTGCTGGCACTGTCTGTCCTGGTGCAGTCACCGTTTGTGGTGGTAGCTGATGCGACAGCAGCCCTGCAGCTCAGCATTTGAGTTCCTTCAGGTTCTTGTGAGAAAGCTTTCTTCTGGTTACAGCACAGAACAATGGAGAAGCTGACACAGGATTGGTTCAGATAAAAATGCTAATGTGACAATATAAGGACATACTGAGTGACACTTTAAAGCAAATCTTACTTAATTCTCTGCCAGTGTTCACAGATATGTTACCTCTTGGGGAACTCTGGCTGCAGAGAAGCCGAAACAGGCGTCAGAGGATGCTGGAGGATAGCCTGGGGATACAGTCGGTGTCTCTCCAAGGAGAGAGGGAATTCCCTTCTCTAGTTCTAATATTAATGGTTCTTTGTAGGTCATTCCCCGTGGACTGGCGTCGCGCAGTGGGCTCCGTGTAGGGGACAGGATCCTGGAGGTAAACAGTATCGACCTGCGCCATGCCACCCACCAGGAAGCTGTGAATGCCCTGCTCTCCAACACCCAGGAGCTGACGATGTTGGTGAGGCGGGATCCACCACCGCCTGGCATGCAGGTGGGTTCTGAGCAAGAGACCTGGGGGAACATTCTTTACAGAAGGATCACTTTTGAAGGCAGTTTCTTATCTAGCTGTAAGTCTGGGACTAGGATACAACCAAACTTCTGGCTGAAATTCCCTTCTCCTGTGGCAGAATCCAGTCTCTTGTAAGTAAATATCCAGCTGAGGACTGTGGAGGGTCTCTTGCCATGCCCATGGTGATGCTGTGATCAGAGAATGATAAGATTTCATGAAGACCAGACCTGAACAGGATACAGAAATACACAAAAAGCCTCATCAGAAAGAATAAACTGTGCCAAATGAGTGAAAGGGCTAATGCAGGTCCTTTTCAGGGTGTTCAGAATGTGGCGAGCTGCTGGGAGTGTTTCCTCAACAATTCCAGCCTGAGCCTGACCCAGAAACTTCTCTTTGTGTTCACAGGAGATATGCATTGAAAAGGCTCCAGGAGAAAAGCTGGGCATCAGCATCCGAGGTGGAGCAAAGGGTCATGCTGGAAATCCGTTTGATCCCACTGATGAAGGCATCTTCATTTCTAAGGTACCAGCCCACTAACTCTGCAGCTTGGTTGCGTGCGAGGACTGCTGGGGAAAAGGGTGATCCCTGGGGCATCTGTTCCACCTTCCACTGGGTACATCAGTTCTGCTGGAGTGTTCTCCATCCACTGGAGGAGGCGCTTCTGTTTCCTTTCATATTCCCTCCTCTACAACAGCTACAAAATTTCTTCCTTCATTTCCTATGTGTGCTTTATTTTGCCTTCTTCGTGCCTTTCATGAACCCGTACATCTGTCCTTTTCCCCTCCATTCCTGTTGCTTCCCTGAAATGCTTGTGGCCTCCCTGCCCACACAAACACACACACTCTTT